GGTCTTAAATAAAGATCTGGTGGATTTTGGCCGACCGCAGTCACAGAGGAGATAAGAGGCTGGATAAGAAAATCGAAATGTTGCAAACAATCATCATCTAGTATTAGTCAGACTTTCAGCTTCAGTGTGGTGACTGCATGAGGTTCAGGAGACCCGAACCTTAGCCGCTGTGTTAAACCACATCCAGATGTGGAGTGCAGTGTATATGAAGCGCACGTATGCGAGCAGCTGCAGCCTGTCTGCTGCTCCCACTGATGCTTAGGAAACAAAGGAAATGACTCAGCACCTCAGAAGATGCGGAGGTATCAGGGGAGGGAGGCGGGGCTATTCCTGCATAACTGTCACTGTCGCCTTACATAACCCCCTCCTGGTTCAACCCAGAGGTGCTGCAACATCTGGAAACTCAGATCTGCCGGGGCCAGTTAGCAGACAGCCTCTGCCATCTGTGTGTGTCGTCAACATGATTCCTCAGAGTGGTGTGACATAAACGCAGTTGTTAAACAGCAGTGCTTACAGTCCAGTCACCATTCAAACTTCACTTGTGTGACCTTTAAACAAACTAGAGAGAGCTTTCTTTGTTTAAGTGAGGAGACATGGAGCTACTGCATATACAGGTGAACTCAGTAATGCCAAAGATGGTGACCAAAAATATTAGCCAGTGACATGGTTGCACTGACAGGTTCAGCTCTGTGGCATGCAGTCTCGTTATCGTACCGCTGTTAAAGAAGCTGTGAAGTGAAATCATGTGCATGCAGTAAAGAATTACAGCTTATAAGAAAAAAATATTTTTTTGGATGGATGGATGGAAGGTAGGACGGTGGGCAGAAGGGTTGATGGATGGATGGCTTAATGGGTGGATGGATGGATGGATGGATCGACAGACGGACGGGTAGATGGATGGAGGGCTTAATGGGTGGATGGATGGATGGATGGATCGACAGACGGACGGGTGGATGTCTGCTTACCGGTGTATCGATCTTGATCAGAGCGATGTCTGCCTTCTCATCAATGTCTTTGATCTTGGCATCATACGTGGCTCCGCTCTTCAGCTCCACCTGGAGGAAATTAAAAGATCTGATCAGAACTCAATGTCCTGATCCAAAATGGTCATAAACTGTAAATAAAAGATGGATGAGGCCACCAGGATGTTGCCAGTTTATTAACAAAGTCCTGTTTTTAAAGCGGTGAGTATTTTTGGCCATCAGCGTCGTTGCTTGTTGTAACCAGATGATGACCGAGGAGCTGACTCTGACACCGGGGGATCCTGCATGCCCATGTGGCACCACATTAAACGGGATTAAAACTTACAGAAATGTATTAATTTGTGTTCAATAGGACGAGAAAATAATGGCCAGAGACCATAAATCGTTTACAGCCAAAGAAATTGCCCATAAGAAGAATCCAGTTTCACGCTGGCTTCACTTAGTACAGTAGAATCAAAAGCTACTTCCATCTTTTATTTACAGTCCTTGCGTCCACAGCATCCGCCTTGTCTCATGATGATGATGTTTAAACCAGCATAGACGGATTTCAGGCCATTATCCACAAA